AGCCTCCCAAGTAGAGGCATTACAGGCGCGCACCTCCATGCCCAGTCTGAAACCTGGCTCAGCATGCACCAGGGGCAGGGTGGGCAGAGCATGCTGAGGTTTGAACCCTGGCCTCTGAGCTCTGTCTAAGCAGGTGCTTTAGTACTCTGAGCTATCTGGCTGACCATCAACATTGTTTTTGTTTAGTTTGATATTTCATGTTTTTATTTTTAAGTATTTCTTCTGTAGTTAAGGGTTTGGTTTCTTTAGTGACTCAAGTATTGTAATTTTTAAATTTGTAGGTGCTGTGGTACTTTCTTTTTAAAAAATTCTTTTATTTGGTACAGAGTCTCACTGTGTAGCTTGGACTCATAGTGGTCCTCCTGTGTCACCCTCCCCAGTGCTGAGATTATAGGTGTGCACCTCGTTGCCTGATCTTAACGGCATGCACGTGCACCCTGGGTTGTCAGGGGCCCCCACGGCATGTGGTACTGGGGATCAAACCTGGGTCATTGCACTTGCCAGGCTTTCTTTTTTTTTTTTTTTTCTTTTTCTTTTCAAAGTTTTATTGATAAACATATAGCAATGAGACAGTTTCAAATCAAATCGAAAGTACAGTTTCAACAAATAATACACTGCATACATTCTTCTCAGTGGTTAATTGCTGTACAAGATGCAGACTTGTGATCCTACTTACAAACACCATTAGAAAAAATCATTCTATTCATTAAGAGAATGCAACTATATATCTATCCCAACCACTTTGAATACACAGATACAAAATGGACATTCATAGTTATACCCCAATTTTTTTTAAGTTCCGTTGTTGAATATTATAGGTGTGTAAACTCAGCAAAATATTCTAAAAGAGTACAGAAGCCCATAATATCATTGGGTTTGCCAGGCTTTCTTATCATGATTTTCTTATTAATTTCTAATTTCATCTCTTAATTATATACATCTTTTATATGTTTTTTTCTTTTAATTGCACAAGTCTACTTTCTCTTAGAGTAGTCTTTTGATTAGATATGTCTGTTGTCTATTGGAATAGTCTTGCTGGGTTTTTTCGAGACTATGTCTCATAGCCCAGGCTGACTTTGAACTTGGCATTCCCATCTTATCCTTTTGGTGGGAAGTCATTTTTTGTTTGTTTGTTTTCAGTTACTTTGACTTTTATAGGAGCATTTGAAAACATCTGATTGACAGTCTTTTCCTTTGATACTGGATATTGAATCCAGGGCCTTTGTATGTGTCTGCGGGTCTTACTAAACTGCTACACTACCTGGGCTAGGCTTGAGTTTTGATCCTCCTCGCTCACTTTCCCAGATTCCTGGGATTACAGGTGTGAGCCGCCTTCCTGGCCTTGGTTGACGGTTCTCCATTTTCAGGTATGGAGGTTGATACACACCAGTTAGACTGACTTTAGTACTTTGCTGTTCGGAGTCCTTTTCAGTTCTGCTGTTTTCAGTTCTTTGAATAATAACTTTTTCCTGTTTATAGTTTTTGGTAGCAGTCTACTGATTTTTACTTCTGGCTTGTCTGTCTGTCTCTGTCTGTCTGTCTGTCTGTCTCTCTCACTCTCACTCTCACTCTCACTCTCTCACTGTGTAGTTCAGGTTGGCCTTGAGCTCACTTTGTATGTAGCCCAGGCTGGTCTTGAACTCCCAACCATCCTCCTGCCTCAGCCTGTGAAGCCCTGGGATTACAGATTCGCATCACCACACCTGGCTTAATCTTTTTTAATCTGTTGTCATGCTGTCAAATAATTTGGCTGTGTGGCTTTTTCTCTCCCTCAGTGCCCCACTTTAGGGTAAGAATTTGGGGGAGGCATTTTGTGTTTGTTCATTTTTGTTTTGTCCTTAGTTGTCCAGCCACTTATAGTGGGCTTCGTTTTTAGTGTGGAGATCACTTTAGTAAGCTGCTCTTCAGTGATACACAGGCCTGGCTAAGTGTAATCCTTGGTTGCTGTCCCAAGATCCAGTTACCTCGGTTAGTGGGGGTGCAGCTGGCCCAGCACCCAGTGCTCTGGGCATGAACTGCACTATCATTAATGCCCCAGAGATAGTGCAGGAAAAAAGGCGTACAGGAAAAACTACTAGAAGCAACAGCAGTGTGACCGTGGCAGTGTCAAGTAGATCAGCAGCTGTGTCACCCAGGACAGACTGGATCCTCAGGCACCATAAGACCCAATAAAGTTTCACCTTTAAAGGTAGAAAAGAAATCTACAATTTTAGTATAAACCAAAGAGAAGTATGTTGACTTAACAGTAAGAACCCACTGGATGTGGTAAGGGTAACCTTCAGGAATAATAGAATTCAACAGTAGTAGCATAGAGTTAGCACTCTTAAGGATGAATAAAGGTTCATGGTTTATCAAGAATGAGTAGATACAAAAAGAAAATTTTAAATTTAAACAGTGATAGGAAGAAAAAAGTGAAACAAGAATTGATCTTGTTTTAGAGTAGGTTATTTACAGAATTAAATAAAAAGAACAATAGCAAAGCAAGAAACAGAAACTTTTGTCTTTTTGGCAGAACCGGGGATTGAACTCAGGGCCTTATGCTTGCCAGGGAAGCACTTATTCTACTGTGCCATCGCCCCAGCCCAAGAAACAGAAACTTTCGCAAGGGAGAAAGGATATACTATAGAGAATAAAATAAACAAGAAATTAAAAGGAAAAGTTTTTTATTTTTTATTAAAAGGAGCCCCAGACAGTTTTTATGAGTGCGTGGAGTGCACAGTGCGTACTCCTCAAGGAGCAGGGACGTGTATGGTGCGTCGTGGCTCCTTCCTGCCCTTTTCCTTTTGCCCTTTGCTCCCTGTCTGTGCACCCAGGTGAGTGATTTCTTCCTAGGATTGCGGGCCTGGAGTCCCACAGGTCTGTGTCCTTGTTCTGGCCTTCCAGACTATGTTTCTGGGCCCACCACTTAGCCCACAGGCCTCTGTCTGCACCGAGCCCTGCCACTGCACCTGTGAATGCATCCTTGTCTCGGTGGTGGTAGGGAAGGCAGGCTTTGGGTCAACGCACAATGTGGCAGGCAGGGGTCGAGGTTCTTGCTGCTGGTGCACTTTCCAGCCTCTGCTACTTGGAGTGCAGCTCCAGCGGGCCTGGCTTTTCTGTGGAGGATGGGCCATGTCCTTCCCACTGAGGTTTAAACTGCTCACGACCTTCTAGCACACTCCCTGTCCACAGCGGTTCTTCCCAACTGTCTCACTCAGTTGCTGGGTGAGAGTGACACTTGTTCTGAGGCCCAGGTTTCAGGACTGGCCCTTCCGGACGTGGCGCGTGCCCGGGCGTTTTCTTTTGAGGAGGAGCACCCATGCTATGTCCCTCTTGCTTTGCCTTGCAGGGAAGGCATCCCCGGAGCAGCCCTGCACTGCTTTGCCCTTTGCAAGGCATTGGCCCCGCCCGCAGCCATGTGCTCTGCACCCCTTGCCTGGCTCACCTGCCTGCTGCTGGGACACCTGGCTCCCTGTCCCCTGAGCTGCAAGAGGGAGGCTCCAGGTTGCCCTCTCCAACTCTGCATCTTTGGTTTTTCCTGCCAGTTCTGTCCCTATTCCTGGTGAACTGTTTGTGGTTTTTTTCCTGCAAGCTGCAATCTAGCCTCTGGGTTCCAGGTCTCAGAGAGGCTGACTTTTGTGTCCGTTGCACTGTACCATTTTATTGCTCTCTTCGTTATGTTTTGGATCAGTGGGGTAGATTAATTTTAATGACAGGACAGAGTCTTTATTGACAATACTAGCCCATAGGAATCATCTTACTCATCGATTCTGTGCAGTCTTTGCATTTGCAGCAGCCTGCCTGTGTGAACTTAGAAATCCCAGGTATTCTTACATTCTTTAAGGTGTCCGTCCCATTTTCCACAGGCACTTTTTTCTCATACTATCTCCCCTTCTCCCCAGATCTCCTAGAGACTGAACCCAGGGTCTTCACAGCAAACTGCATCTCCCTTTTACATGTTTTAGAAATATTTGTAGTTTGAGGCGGTTTCACTAAGTTGCCCAGTCTGGGCCCGCACTGGGGATCTTTCTCGCCCCCAGTGTTTAGATTGCAGGTGTGCCCCCATGCCAGCATCGGATCGTACTCTTTGTCGGAGAACTTTTCAGAAGGTTTGTGTTTTCTGTGTGAAGTCCAGCTCGTTGGCTGGACTTCTTTCAAGGAGAGCTGCTCTTCTTTGAAGGAGAGCTGCTCGGGCGGTCCTCTGCGAGGGGTCGGGGGGAATAGTTCACACGTGTGCTTGTGTATGCTGGGAATGAACACTGTCTTTCTCAGTCAGTGAGCTGCATCCATACTCTGGTCTTCACTGCCTGCCTGCCTCTGCCTGCCTTCTTCCTTTCTGGGTCTCAGCGCTACTCAGCTCGCCACTCTCAGTCCTCTTGCTTAGCTTCTCCAAATGCTGTCAGAAGGCTGCACCCCTCCTGGCTGCGTGTTCTGAGCCTCCATCATTCAGTCTTCGTAGTCTCTTCTCCAGACTGTTTCTTCCTAACCAGAGCACTGAGATGACAGGCATACACCACGTTGCCTAGCTCAGTGTCTGTGTCCTTTGTTGCTTTTAGGTTCTTATAGGTATGAACTATTAAAAAGTTCTGCTCATTATGTTGTTGCTGATGATCAGACGCCAGGACAGGAACACACATCTTCAGTGTAGACAGCGGCTCTAAAAGGTGCTGTGGGGCCATCGCAGCCTCCCACTTGAGCCCCTCAAGCCTTCCCCCCAGGGCGTCCCGTCCTCCTGCCTGTCCTCTCTCCTCAGCCCAGGCGTGCTCTGCACAGTTGGTTTCTCCTTCCCTCTTTACTTCTGTTTTTTAAAATGAACTGTGCTGCTGGTTTTTGCTCATTTTGCCCATGTCGTTTGAGACAAGAGCATGCACACATGCGTGTGTGTGTGTGTGTGTGTGTCTGTCTGTCTGTCTGTCTGTCTGTCTGTCTGTTTGGAATGTTGTGGGAACATGAATGCACATATATGCATGCACACGTCATTGCCCTTGTTTTTATTATGTTCTTTTTCTTTTCCAATACAGGAAATGTATGAAGTTGCCAAGAAGCTCTGCTCTTTTTGTGAAGGCCTTGTCCATGACGAGCACCTTCAGCACCAAGGCTGGGCCGCAATCATGGCCAATCTGGAGGACTGCTCAAATTCATACCAAAAGCTACTTTTCAAGTTTGAAAGTATTTATTCAAATTATCTGCAGTCCATAGAAGACATCAAGTTAAAACTTACTCAGTATGTGTACCATTAAATGGATAACAAGACATTTGTTTAATGTATCTTTGAAGTTTATAAGTAGTTTTAGTCACTCTCTTTCTGTCTTTTTAAGACAGTGTCGTGCTGTGCAGTTCGGGCTGGCCTTGAGCTCACAGCCGTCTTCCTGCGTCAGGCTCCGGGGCCTATAGGCACGTGCCGCCATGCCAGACCTACGCACTGTTTCTGGTCCTTCCCGTAGCATGTTTACTTTTTGAATCTTATGATAAAAGTTTCTGTGTTGTAATTTTTTTTCTAGGCATATGGATTTATAAATTTATAATTTAAAAATTAGTTATTTTTGCTCTATCTTAGTAGCTCTCCCATATACTTTTTCTTGTGTTGCGAGAAAGGCTCAAAATACTGCAGTCACTGATGAAACTAAGATTTTGCACTCATACAGTCTCTTACATTTTAAAGAAAAGACAGATAGAAAAATAGTGCACCTAAGGAAATGTGAACGTTAACAGATGGAATGAGGAAGGAGAACTAAGTTTCTTTTTCATTACTGCCATCCTAGCTGTGCGGGCGGTGCAGGGCCATAACCCTAGCAATCAGGAAGCCGAGGCAGTAGGGTCGCACAGCTTCACAGCCAGCCCAGGCTGCATAGTGCTTTTAACTACATAGCATGACCCACTCTCAGTAACTACTCCTTCCACCACTCCCCAAAACAATTGCCACTCTGGTATAGCCTTAGTAAGTTAATAATAAGCCATTGTGTTCCAGCTATCAGATAGCTTTCTAGTTTCTTAAGAGAAGCACATCTAATATTAGATTCTTAAAAGGCTGTAACATAAGAAGAGAAGGATAATTCAGAATGAATGTGATGTGTGTGTACATGCTTGCACTCCCAGGTTTTCAAGTTCTTTGTCTTACTTTTGATTCTGTGAGATTTTTCTGTGTGTGTCATTAACTCCACTGTGAATCAGCGGCGAGTAGCATGTTCCTTCATGTCCCCTTCCATCCTCCCTCCCCGCTTCCCTCCCACCCTGCCTCCACCCACCTCACATCTGTACTTTGCTGTACGAGTTCTTTTTTTTGTGGCCAGCATAGTCCGCCCTGGGGCAGGGTTGGCATCAGGGATCAAACCATGGTCCCTGCACTTGCTTTAGACCACTGAGCTATCTAGCCAGCCCATATATTTTGATCTTAAATTGACAACAAAATAAATCTGGCAAAAAAAGAAGTAATCATTAAGAATAGAAAGAAAATTTTTGAACATTTATATAGTAACCTTTACAAGTAACTTTTTGGAGAGTTTTTGTGAATTTAATTTAGGTATATGACCTCCTACATTTTTGCAGAGGAGGATTTGATACATTTCCCCTTACCTTTTAACTATGTACATCTGACTTTTCAGAGCAAGTTTTCCTAAGATTAAGACTTAATTTTATCCTATATTTTCAGTGTATTAAGTTTAATTGACTTAACATAAATAGCAGATTTTTCTAAATTTGAAATTTTATTCCTTCTTTATGTTGGTAAAAAGTTGATGTCTACTTTTTTTAAAAAATAAGAGCCTAACTAGATTTAGTTTACTGTTTTTTATTTTTAGATAACCTTTCACTGTGCAGTTCAGAATTACTTTGAACTCACGTTATAAGCCCAGGCTGGCTTGAACTCAGCCCTCCTTCTGTGTCAGCCTCCCAAGTGCTGGGTTACGGGTATGTGCCACCTCAACTGGCACTAGTTTAGTATTTTGGTGTCTTAATCATAAACATTCCTTCTCTGCTTCTGTTAGTGCATAAGCTTCTGTTAGTGTGCAGTTTATAAATGACTTCATCAAATAATACATGGATAAGTGATAAAGTCTTGGGTGTATGTGCTCATGAGCTGGGATGCTAATCCTTAACTGGAGAAGTCCTGTTTCACTGAAGGATCTTTCTGTGTTTTAAGTTTAGGAACTGCGGTTTCGGTAATGGCCAAGATTCCGTTGTTGGAGTGCCTGACCAGACATAGTTACAGGGAATGTTTGGGAAGACTAGACTCTTTAAATGAACACGAAGGCTCCGAAAAGGCTGAGATGACACGATCCGCTGAACTGGTGCTTTCTCCTGACATGCCGAGAGCAACTGCTACATCCTTGTTACCCTCATTTCACAAATCAGTGGAACATGTAGCCCCAGATGGCACAGATGCTGAGAGTGGCAAAGAAATTAGAGAGTCTTGTCCAAGTACTGTACCACAGGATGAAACTCCGGTAGATGCTAAAGACAGCGACCTGCCTTTTTTTAACGTTTCTTTGTTAGACTGGATCAATGTTCAGGATAGACCTAATGATGTGGAATCTCTGGTCAGAAAATGCTTTGATTCCATGAGCAGGGTAAGTAATGTTATGTTAATTTCATTTCTTGTGTTGCTTACATTATAATCATGAGAAAATAAATGAGTAGTGGAGGAGCAGTATGTTAAGATTAGAACTTTTAGATTGACTCAAACTTGCATTCTATTTATGAGTTGAGTATGAATTGGTGAAGATTGTATGAAATTCTGGTGCAATGAGAATTATCTGCATATAGCACACTGTAGGATCGAGTAGCTAGTTAGAAAGTCAGCTGCCTCCTGGCTTTATAAGAGGGGAGTGCGGGAGACCAGGCATGCTCCCGGGTCTGCTAGGTGATGCCCTGTACTGCCTCAGGACTGCCAGCAGGAAGCCCCTCTGGCCCCAGCTTGGACCCTCACCCTTAGATTTCTAGAATTGTGAGACAGGGTAAAGAAGTAAGTACAGAAGACAACCACCCTCCAAGAACACCCCTTTAGGCCTTTTCCTCATCACCATTTCCCTAGAGGATACATCCTCGTTCTGGCTTTTTAAAGAAAAGCTTTTTAAATTCTAATCTTCTGTAAAATCCAAAAACTTAACATTGTGGTTTTTTTTTTTTTTCTTTTCATTTTGAGACAGGGTCCACAGGGTCTCACTGTGTAGATCAGACTCATAGTGATCCTCCTGTTTACAGCCTCCCAAGTGCTGGGATTACAGATGCGTGCCACCATGCCCAGTCTCAGTCACTATCCCAGCATGCCCCAGGGGAGGGGCCAGCACTGGCCCCGCAGACCATACCCTGGCCCCTGCATGTGCCAAAGCAGGCGCTTTGATCTGCTGAGCTATTTGGCTGGCCCTAACGTTGTGGTTTTAATTATATTCTACAAATAAACTTGGGGAACAAATTTCTGTCTCATCTACAGATTGATAATGAATACTTGAAGCGAGAAAGAAAACTGATGGAGTCCATGTAAGGAAGTTGAGAGGGGCACACCTCTTAGGCTACGGGGCCTAAAGGTGTATCCAGTATTTCTTGTCCACAGTAAGCTTTTCTTTAAAAGAGATTGAATCATTGATTCTCCAGAGAAAACATGGTCATGGGCCAAGATGCCTAGCCAGCACTGTATCACTGCCCATGTCAGGTTGGGACGCACTCAATACAGAAGATTGAGGTTTCAAAGTTCTTTTCAGTTTCCACTTCCTTGGGACACCCAGGTTTCTCATTCCTTTAGGATGTTTGCTGGGACACGAAATTTTGTAATAATGTACTTTATAGCACCAAAACATAAGAGAGCTCAGCAAGTCTTCCAGCTCACACTGTTGACATTTTAGCAACCTAAAAATTGCTTTTAGGATTATGGATTAGCCATGTGATTGTGATTAGGGTGACAAGTATCATTTTTTTATAACAAACTACATATATTTTATATTAAAACACAATAGCCTATGAAGAAAGCCTGATACTAGGTTTGCATTTCATATGTAAATGCAAAATCTGTCAGAATCACAGGTGTTACTCATTTTACATGACATGGGAAAGGAAACTGGTACTCTACTGGCCCAACAATGAATATTAAAAGCTTATCCCTACGGAAACAGAAATTAGTTATTGTCAAGGGATCACCTTACTGCACCTAGTGCTTGCTGCAAGCTCCGAAGCCTGGTATTAATGTGGCATTTGTGTCAGAAGCAGAAGGCCGCCCCTGGTTTAGCTACACACACTTTGTGCGACATGAGCAGGACTTCACGTGGGCAGGCCTCGTCAGTGGCACGGGCACGGTGGATGGGGGACTTTTGATTTAAAGGCAATAGGAATTTATTTGGAAAAGTTGGCTAGTTTGTACAGGATGCGCGCATTGTTCTCCTGCCGGTGCTTTTCATGGTGTCACCAGGGGCCTGTCTCTAAGTGCTGAGTTGAACATGACATTCTCCTGGATCAGAGGCGCGGCTTTTGCACTCCAGTTTTATTTACTCTATCAATATTTTGTAATTGTTCCTCCATTAGATTTCTTTTTTAGAACTTTCTATTCATTTTAGGTTTTCTCAGGATGGGGTTTTACGTGTAGTTCTGACTTAACTCGCTGTGTAGCCTAGGGTGGCCCTGAAGTCCTGGCAGTCGCTGCTTCGCCCTCCTGAGTGCCGGGATTATAGGCAGGCACCAGCCTGCCTGATCTTTCATGAGATTTCACCCTGCTCTTGCTGGTTGGAGTCTGAATTCATTCATGTGCAGCTCAGAGTGGCCTTAACCTTACTTTATAGCCCAGTTTGGCCTCCACCTGACAGCAGTTCTCCTGCCTCAGCCTCTCAAGGCCTGGGATTACAAGCATGCACCACCACGCCTGGCAGATTTTCTATTTTAAGTTACACTACATAGGGCAACCCTTGTGCTTCTGATAATTAGTAACTGGAAGCATGCCCTGGGCTCCGGTAGGCTGCCGAAGTTCACCTGCACTTACCACAAGCGAGAGCTCCTTGGCTGTAGCATTTCTTTCAGCCACACAGGTGATCTTAGGAAATATTGCTGCTGAGAGGGAGGTTTAAGGGTGTGGCAGGTAAGAAATTTGGATTTTTACAATGCCTTCTGTAAGGTAACAACGCTAGGTGTTGTAAGCATAACTAATCAAAGAATGAGCCCAGGAGGAAAAATTGGTGCAGTACTAAGGGTTAAATACTGAAAGTTTGCACAACCTGCAGACTTAGAAATTTTTTTTCACTATCTGTCAAGAAATCAAAGTTATTTTTTCTGTTGATGGTACTGGGGATTGATTCACTACCTCTGCACTGAGCTGCATCTTCAGGCATCTCCACTGCTCTCTGGAATAGAATCTGGCCAGGTTCCTCAGGCTGGGCTTCAGGTGGGTGACTCTCCTGCTCTGATGTCCCACCAGTGCTAGAATTGCCAGTGCCCCAACAGAGTAAAATAGTAAGTTGAATAAGTTAAATGAAAATTGTTCATCTGTAGTTCTCTTCCATAGTTGCCAGTGTAGTCATGAGGTACATTCAGATGAATTATAAAATACAGAAACACTAATGAGCAACCTCAGTTCATGATTTATTTTCCTGAAGGCATTGCCATGTTAAACTTGTAAATAGCTGCCATGTTTTTGCCCTTTACAACCCAGACTTGTAAAGAGCTGGTTTGTATCACATCGCATCGTGGAAGTGTGTGCACTCCCGTGGTTAGCACACCCTTGAGGGGAGAGCTCGCGCACGTGCACACAGCGTCGTTAACGCTGGGCACAGTAAGAGCTACCTGAAGCCACGGTCTGCCATGAAGAGGAATCCTGAGTAGGCCCTGGAAACCGAGCCGGGCTTAGTGGCGAGCCACCAGAGCGCCTGTGGTGGAGAGCAGAAGGACAGGTGCAAGCTTTGTCTGGGAAGTGACTTGTAGCTGGACCTGAAGTGGGCGGCGTGGAGGGTTTGCTGGTGGCAGGTGGCTGGAGTGCTCACGGGCTGCGCGTGGTTCTTGTGGGCAGAAGGAAGCCACCGAGGCATTCCATCAGAGACTCACTCTGTCCCACGAGTCAGTAATAGCAGGTGGTGTGGTTGATGTCCTCATGCAGGAATTTGCAGACATTCAGAAATACTTTTAAGAAATTATGCGTCAGGTTTAGGGTTGGGCTAGCTGTGGGAGTTGCCTCCAGTAGTCTGCCTAATGCTGAAATGTTGCAGAGAAGGTGAAAGTGAAATCCCGACCTACTGGGATGTAGGGATTACGTGGAGGGAAGGGCGCCTGAGGGAGCCGGCTGAGAAAGCCCTCAGGCCTAGAGCTGGGAAGTGTTTTCTGTTTTGCTAAATAATACACAAATGTGGAGTGAAGCAAGGTCACCTGGTGATTATTGTGATCAAGCAGTTCTAGTGGTAAACTCAGACGTAAAGGTGGCTAGTGTAAATACTCTGTCAGGGTGAAGGCAGTGATGTGGAACTGCTTTTAGGTTTTGTGAATTCCAGCAAGTTTTGTAGAATTAAAGCCAAAAATCAAGAGTGATTAAAGAATAAGAATGCAGTTGAGGGGGCCTGGCCCTAGCTCAGGCCTTTCAGTGGCTGCTTCCACAAAGCTGTCAGCCTCAGGCTGCTGGAGTTCGAACCTCACAACTCTCCCGCTGGCCAAAAGTGCCCTGAAGGCATTCGAGGAACAAAAAAAAAAAAAAAAAAAAGAAAGCAGTTGTTCAGCACCATTCTTTACTTGGGGACACAGAGACTAAGAAAGATTTATTTTGTGTTTCCAGGTTAGGGAGATAACACTGACTGAAGCAGTATATAGATTTTAGAAGCCAGATTGATAAATTGTTCTTAACCATGGAGTGAGTTTAGTTATTAACTGTGCTGTACTTTATAAGACCTTGAATATTACATTGTTGAGGAATTTTGAGAATTTATTAAATTGTGGCTTTCATTAAAATATGTGATGCTTAGACCTCTATTTTTAATAATGATATTCTAGTATATTCAGTATAGATTTTCAAAGATACTTTCTTGTTTTTTACTTTCCTGGAAGTATAGCTTTGATATCCCATACTCTACTTTTTTAATAACCTTTTTTTTCTGTTTCTCTGACACTATATGAAAATTGTGTGAAATAATATTTAAAACTCTGTGCTGACAATTTTAATTCTATTGGTTTCACTTAGCTGGATCCAAAGATTATCAGACCGTTTATAGTAGAATGCCATCAAACTATTGCCAAGCTTGATAATCAGAACATGAAAGCCATCAAAGGTCTCGAGGACCGGCTCTACGCGCTGGACCAGATGATCGCCAGCTGCGGCCGGCTGGTGAATGAGCAGAAAGAACTGGCGCAGGTACCACTCCTGACCCTTAGCGGGAATAGGAACTTGTAGCTTGTCTAGCTAAAGTATTCTCTTTGCTTTATCAGTTTGATAGATGTTATATTTTCACTTCCTCTTTGAATATTTCTATGTAAGATTGTTTTTCCCATGTAGTAAACAATAAAGGCATGTTGTAAGTGGTTGAATTTCATAAGATAAGTGATCTCAGTTTATATACTGTAGATTTAAGCTGAAATAGAAGCCATGAGGAGATCAGTATCTGTTGGTATGATAAAAGCAGTCATGGCACTAACCTATTTGAGTAGCCCTGCTCCCCTGTCAAAAAACTGAAAAATCTGAGAAAGTGTTTAAAGAAAAGATGAATAATATTGACTCTTGAAGAATTTACTGATACTTTACTGATGACCCCTTTCCAGGATATGCTCTTTGTATAGGCTGTGTGAAAAGCACATTACCCACAGTAGCCTTTTTCCTGTTGTTTTTCAACTAAAAAATATCTTCCTATAGTGTAGGCTGGTACAAATTAGAATGTCCTTCGGTGCTTCTTTTTGGTGACAGGTTCAGTTTCATCATTTGGAAGTCTCTTTAAATCATTCTAATTTCTGGAGGATACTTTCGCTTCATGTAGAATTTGGAGCTGTTAGCTCTTTCCTTAAAGGTACTTCCTTTGCTTTTTTTTTTAACTGTATTTAATACAGGGTCTCACTATCTCGATCAGACTTGTAGTGATCTTCCTGCTTTCAACCTCCCAAGTGCTGGGATTACAGGCGAGCGCCACCACGCCCAGTCTCCATTGCCCTCTCAGTGGGGCTGACATGGCGCCCTGGGGAATCAAACCCTGCCCCTGCGCTCTGCCTCAGCATGTGCTTTAGTCGGCTGGCCCCTGTATTTGGTTTTATTTTAGCAGTTTGGCTATGATGTGACAAGGTATGGCTTTTACTATGGTGGTCCTGCTTTGGGCCTGTAGTGCTTGTTGAATCTTGGTTTAATGAAAGCAATTTCCTTTTGGCGCTTGTCTCCCTTGCTTTGACTTTTTATTCAGTGATAGATAGCAGTTGCACATTTTCAGTTAGATTTACACCATATTCTTTTTAGATGCTTAATTGAAACTAGTTCTCTTTTCAGTGATGAGTACTTCTTGTTCTCCCATGCTGTTTGTTTGCTTTTTGTTTATATAGTTTTAAATTTTCTGTCAATATTATCTTGTCCACCATCTCTTTAATCACATTAAGCACACAGTAATTTTTTAAGTTTGTGAATTGTTAATTCCATTACATGTACATCTATGTCTCTTGGTATTTTCTGCTGTTTCTTACAATTTACAATCCTGGAAATCCTACCTTTTTATATTCCTTGATTACTTTTAGTAAGACTAACAAATAGTTTCAAGCATAAGATAATCTACATGTTGAATTTCTCTTAACATTTAAAAAAAACTTTGTTTTTGACCTCTGATTTGGCAGTAGTAATCTTTAATCACTTTAAACTGGTTTCAGAGTTTCTGATGACAGGAAGTTGGTTCATCATGGGACTGACCAGTCAATTTTTAGAGCACCTTTACTTGTAGGACTTAGCTTTAAAAACTACAAATACAAAGCATTCCGTTGTCTTTTGCCTTGCCCGGCTCTGGTCTCCAGTTTTTAATTTCTTACCACTGTCTGTAAGGAAGACTGTGGATTAGGACATACTTGTAGCTTGAGCACTACCTCAGGCATCAGAGGACGTGTCCACGACGGCGTTTCTAGCGTCCTTTCTGTTCTGCTTCCCTTGGGTCCCACGCTCTGGGTTATACCACGTTCTTCTTTCTTACCTCACCTGTATACAGTGCCACATGCTTCTCTTTCTACAGACAGATGTTTGCATTCCTGACCAATTGGGGGTGTTTTGGGTGGGGTTTTTTTGTTGTTGTTGTTTTGGGGTTTTTTTGTTTTTTTGGAGGGGGAGACTTTGTTTTGTTTTTATTTGTTTAAGACAGGGTCTCACCATACTTGGACAGCTTTAAACGCACAGTCCCCATGCCTCAACCTCTGAGGTTACAGGCATGAGCCTCCACACCTAGATTTGCATTCCTAGTATTTTGGTGCTTCTCCAGGGTCATTTGCCTTCCACAGAACAAATCAAATACAATGGACTGAAGCATACTGTCTTTGTGTATTTCTCTCTCTTAGTTTGCATGCTTGTTTATGCCAGGGTCTGGCTACTTGTCACTCTGCGTCTAGGCTGGATTCAGAGAATCTTGTGATTCTCATGCTTCAGCCTCATGAGTCCTCAGATGAAAATGGCTTTTTCTTTATTACAGATATTATTTGACTATCCCAATACATCTTTGTTTACTTGTATAATCTAGAATTTCTTTAAGCACAAGCCCCGGTGATGGAATTGCTAGATAAAATGTATGTCCAGTTTAAATATTAATAGTGCATAATGATCCACTTTATAAAGGCAAAATCAAAGTCTGTCAATACTCTCCAATAAATGAGAAGAATAATTTCCCCTTATCAGTGTTTTATGATTACTTCCTCTGAATTGTCATTTGCCATCTTAGTGCTTTTCTAAGAATTTATCCTACGTCATTTTTGTAATCCTTTACCTTAATAGGTTATATGTTTATATAACCTGATAAGATTGTAACATTATAGGCAGTTTTTCTAGTATCTTTTTATTTTATCTTGTTCTGTATGGTTTTTATAGTTTGATAAGCAAATATTTTTGATCCTAGTATTTGTTATATATATGTATCTTGTGTATTTAGAAAATCTGATTCGAAAGTAGAACAGTTTGTATTTAACAGAAATTTTTCTTTTAAGTGAATGTTTGCATTGTTCATGGAATAAAATCGAATGTTTTTGAAATACTCTTCCTCAAAGGGGTTCTTGGCTAATCAGATGAGAGCGGAAAACCTGAAGGATGCGTCCGTACTGCCTGACCTGTGCCTGAGTCACGCGAACCAGTTGATGATCATGTTGCAGAATCACAGGAAGCTGCTGGACATTAAGCAGAAGTGCACCACTGCCAAGCAGGAGCTAGCGAACAACCTGCACGTCAGGCTGAAGTACGGCGCCCCGTACTTGGGATCCCTGACTTGGGATTTTGCAATTGATGTTTGTTTCCCCCCAGTGTTAATTTTCTGTCACCACTTTATTTCACTGCAACTTGGGGGTTAAAGTGTTTTTATTGAGCGTACACACGTGGATGTCCTCATCTTGATTAATCTTCTTGAACAGACCCGTCACTGTTGCAGACAATGGCTTCTGCTTTACAGGTGGTGTTGCTTTGTGATGCTTCACGCAGATCAGGACGGAGAAAAGTTGCAGGCTCTGCTGCGCCTCGTGACGGAGCTGTTGGAGAGAGTCAGGATTGTGGAAGCGCTCAGCACCGTTCCCCAGATGTATTGCCTGGCTGTTGTGGAAGTCGTAAGGAGAAGAATGTTCATTAAACACTACAGGGAGGTACGGCGGTGCAGTTCGGTCTCAGTTCTGTGTGAGCAGTAGTGGACCGGTGCATGCCATTAACGTCCAGTTTGTCTTCCAGTGGGCTGGTGCTTTAGTCAAAGATGGAAAGAGACTGTATGAAGCTGAAAAGTCCAAGAGGGAGTCCTTCGGGAAAGTGTTTAGTGAGTGTTCTTCATCAGTTGCTTCACTTACTTTTGTTTGAAGAAAAACGCAGTTTATATTTCACATATATAAATTATCTATAACATTGTACTCATTTACTTTCATTTACTTGATATTAATTACCTAGGAGTCTAGGACTATTTTTTTTCTTATTTTTAATTTTATTTTAAAGAGTAAAAACAAATAGCAGAAACAAACAATAATAAACAACAATGCATATGGTACAGAATTTGAAAAAAAGAATAAAAATTTAACAATTGTTGTATTACATATTTTCATCATCAGATCTGTTTTTCAGATTAATAGATACAGGTATGCAAGATTGGTCAAATTATTAAACATTAATACTTTCAATAAACCTTCATTTTTTTCTTTCTTTTTTTTTAAATATTTATTTATTTTTATTTATTTCTTTTTTTTTTGTGTGTGTGTGTGTGTGTGTGTGTGGCCAGTTCAGCCCACCAGGGGGCGCGGCTGGCTGGCATGTGGTGCTGGGGGATCGAACCGCGGTCCCTGTGCTTTACCAAGCTTGTTTCAAGTAGGTGCTTTAGACCACTGAGCCATCTCTCCAGCCCCCTTCATTTTTTTCTTATAAGATTATTTTTTTGAGTTAGTGCAAAGAAAAGAATTTTATTTTTTTTCCCGTAATTTTACTTAATGAATAGAGGGATTTGTTGTAATAGTGTTTGTAAATAGGATATCATGTCTGCATCTTGTACAGCAAATAACCACTAGGAAGAGAGTATGCAATGTGTTAACTACTGAAACTGTCCTACCAATTTGATTTGAAACTGTCACATTGCTATTTGTCGCAATAAAATTATGGAAAAAAACATAGGACTACCTTTTATTGTTTTTGTTTTTTGTTGTTTTTTTTTAAGCCAGGGATCCAACTCAGGACCTCGTGCTCACCGGTTGCTTATGCTGCTGAGCTCTCTCCCCGGCCTGAAAACATTGTTTTTGAACCTTACAAAGTTCATTCTGTTGTTAAGTTTTAACTGTCAAGCACTGTCAGACTTGACTTACCTTTTCAAAACCCAGAGTTGGCTTTTTGCGTTTGATAAAAAACGTGAAATAACCGCATCGCTCATTTTTTACAGGGAAGTCTTTCTTAAGAAACCGTCTGTTCCGGGGACTGGACTCCTGGCCGCCCTCCTTTTGTGTATGTATGATTTTCTCACCATCACTACCCCTGTAGAGGTGCTGTCGGGAACACAAGGTCTGCTACACCAGCACCCAAATGTTCTTGGCCGCGAAAATCTGCTGCTGTAAAGCTTCCTTCTTTTTTGGCGATGGAGTGTTGCTATGTAGTGCTTCTAGGATGAGCACTGCCACGTGGCAGCGTCCCGCATTGCACTACGAGGATCAGTGGGAAGTCACGTCTTCCCCTACCCCTTCTGTTTGCTTTGGTTTTTCAGACAGGGCCTCACTGTGTACTCGAGGCTGGTCTCGAACTCAGCGACCCTTTTGCCTCAGCCTCCTGAGCGAATGCTGGGATTACAGGTGTGCACACCATGCCTGACTGTCTCTTTCTAGGGTGGTTTTTCTCTCCCCATCTCCCCTTTTTCCCCATCCTTCCTTTCTGTTTTCCTACCACTTTGTGCTCTTGCTGCTTGGACACTCCTACTCTGTAATGATGGGGGCATCTTAGTCACAGTAGCACACTGGGGACACAGGACCAACACCAACAAATTAAAGACAGAAAGGATTGCTTGGCTTACAGTTGGTAGAGTTTTGAGCCCATAATTGCTGCCCTCCAGGCAGGACAGTGTGGCAGAGGAGCTGCTCAGGATGGCGCATGGACAAGGGATAGGGAAAAGGAAGGGACGTCGGTCGTCTCGGCCACCCCCACAAAGCTTCTCTGATGAGCGCGCTGGGTCTGGAGGACATCTAGATAGGAGCCATAGCGAGCCTAAGCCGTGAAGGACTGTGGCATGTTTCTAGTCAGGGGTATCCGGGCCCGTCCGCTCTTGTTAAATAGGAAGGAGTGTGTGAATAAGGAAACAGGGCGGGCGACGCCCGTGTCCTCCTCCCACGACCCCTCCCGTGTCCATTCCTCAGCCGTAACCATTTCTGTATTGCAGGATACCTTAGAGTTTAATACCTACAAATTGGTGGCTTGGGGAGCCCCACACTCGTTTATCCTGAGCCCTTCTTTATGAAGAGCTCCATGTGCTTGAGTAGTGATTGGAACTCTTTTAAATATACCATTCTTGGTGTTATTATAAAGAATGTTAGGGCTTCCAATTTTTGTTTCAAGTTGAAATTGATCAGTAATTTGTATTTTAGAAAATGTGGTAGAAGTGTCAAAGGATGAGTAAGGCAGGAGGTGTTACCAGCACGCATGCCCACCCGCGTCTCAGCCGGCAGACACGGCCACGAGAGGAGGCCAGAGAGGCCTTCGTAAGCATGCGCGTAGAGGCCACCGGGTGGTTGTATTCCGTGCTGGTAGGATACTGGAATGCCCCTGAAATGACGCTGAAAACACAAAGGCAGTATCAGGTCCTCTGCCTGGCTGTGAGCGGCTGGTTTCTCAGTCTGTGAAGGGCGCAGAGACAGTGTGTCACTTGTGCTTTGAATAGCTTTTTCCATGGTTTTGTTCTCTTTTGTTATGGTTAGATCATTTGAAACATTTTTGCCAATTTATATTGAATTACAGTAAAAAACTATAAATTTTGTAAGGTTTTTGGTTTAAAATTTTTTTTTCTTTTTTTGTATAGACTCAGAAGCCTCGAAAGTTTGACTGTGAACTTCCAGATATTTCATTGAAAGATTTACAGTTTCTGCAATCATTTTGTCCGTCTGAAGTTCAACCATTCCTCAGGTAAATGTCGGGATCTTTAACCCGAGGTATAACCCTAAGCTGTCCATTTGTTCGGAGGTGTGGAAAAGCACATCAGTACTCGGGAAATGCCAGGATGAAGAAGCCTCTTACAGCAGGCCTTTTTGTCTGTTTTGGCTTGTTTTTGTCTTTAAGGGCATGGTCTTCTTATGTAGTCCAGTCTGGCCTTGAGTTTATGTATAGCTCTTGTTGCCCTCAGCCCTAGTAATCTGCCTCGGCCTCCAGAATTCTGAGATTGTAGGCTTGTGCCACCATGCTTGTCCTCATGTGGAATTTTTAATGTTTGGTAATTATCCTGAATTGGTATATTATTAGGCAGTTTCTAGCTTAACACTTTACTAATTATGATTCAAAATTTTGTGATTTATGATTCAAAATTACTAATTATGATTCTTCAAAATTTCCTAGCATTGATTAGAAAGGAATGATCATGCTGTATTTATTTACAACAGTGAAGTAATTTGTTTACAGTTCATTTATCTTTTGGTTAACAGCCCCGCCATCCAATTTGCTTGCCTTCTGTTTCAGGGTTCCCCTACTTTGTGACTTTGAACCTCTACACCAGCATGTACTTGCCCTACATAATTTGGTAAAAGCAGCACAAAGTTTGGATGAAATGTCACAGACCATTACAGATCTTTTGAATGAACAAAAGGTAAGAAAGCGCTCTGCATTCGGAGAGCAGCTGGTGTTGCCCTTATTTGCTTATCGCTTCTCTGTCTTCTAGGCATCCGTGAGTCACGCGTCCCCGCAGTCAGCCTCTTCCCCGCGGACAGAAAGTGCAGCAGGAATTACAACAACTACCTCACCAAGAACTCCCCCTCCACTCGCTGTCCAGGATCCCTTGTGTCCTGCAGTGTGTCCCTTAGAAGAATTATCTCCAGATAGCATCGATGCACATACGTTTGATTTTGAAACCATACCCCATCCCAACGTTGAACAGACTATTCACCAAGTTTCTTTAGACTTAGATTCATTAGCGGAAAGTCCTGAGTCAGACTTTATGTCTGCTGTGAATGAATTTGTGATAGAAGAGAATTTATCTTCGCCTAACGCTATAAGTGATCCCCAGAGTCCAGAAATGATGGTGGAATCACTGTACTCATCAGTCATCAACGCGATAGATAGCAGACGCATGCAGGGCACAAGTACAGGCGGGAAGGACGATTTGGGAGATCATGCTTCTCTGAATTTCCAGTTGGAGAAATGTAGAGTTGTCGCCCAAGATTCTCATTTTAGTATACAAACCATTAAGAATGATCTTTGCCACTTCAAAACATTTGTACAAAAAGAACAGTGTGACTTCTCAAATTCTTTAAAATGTACAGCAGTAGAAATAAGGAACATCATTGAAAAAGTAAAATGTTCCCTGGAAATAACACTAAAAGAAAAGCATCAAAAAGAACTGCATTCTTTAAAAAGTGAATACGAAGGTAAAATCAATGCATTAATAAAGGAGAGTGAAGAAAATGAAAGCAAAATTAAAAAATTGAAAGGAGACTTGGAGTACCTTGAGGAGGTTTTACAAAATAAAGATAATGAATTTGCTTTGGTTAAACATGAAAAAGAAGCTGTTATGTGCCTGCAGAATGAAAAGGACCAGAAGTTGCTGGAGATGGAAGGTATCATGCACACTCAGACTTGCACAATTAATGAGCTGAAGCGGTCGCGAGAGGCCGTGTTGGAAGACCTGAAGAAGCTTCATGCTGAAAGTGATGAGAAGATGGAGGCACTGAGGGCAGAGCTTCAGGGCCTGGAGCAGAGCCACCTGAAGGATTTGGAGGACACGCTGCACGGCAGGCACACACAGGAGTTTGAGAAAGCTATCCGCGACCACAAGATTTCTTTGGAGAAATTAAAACAGGAAAATCAACAGAGAATTGATCAGTTGCAAGAGTCTCACACCGCCGCTATCCATGAAAAAGAACAGCAGCTGCAAGAGTTAAAGCTTAAGGTTTCTGATTTGTCAGACATGAGGTGTAAGTTAGAGGTTGAACTTGCATTGAAGGAAGCAGAAACTGATGAAATAAAAATGTTGCTGGAAGAAAGCAGAATGCAGCAGAAAGAAACACTGAAATCTCTTCTTGACAAAGAAACAGAAAACTTGCGAGCCGAGATAAGTCAGCTAAACCAAAAGATTCGCGATAATAGCAACAATTACCAGGTGGGCTTAGCAGAGCTAAGAACTTTAATGACAATTGAAAAAGATCAGTGCATTTCAGAGTTAATTAGTAGACATGAAGAAGAATCTAATGTACTTAAAGCTGAATTAGACAAAGTAACATCTTTGCACCAACAAGCGTTTGAAATAGAAAAAAGCCTAAAAGAACAAGTGGTTGAACTGCAGAATAAATTGGATTCAGGGTTATGTGCTCTTGAGAAACAGAAAGATGAAAAAATCACTGAGCAAGAAGAAAAATATGAAGCAGTTATACAGAACCTTGAGAGAGACAAGGAGAAATTGGTTATAGGCCATGAACAAGAGAGAGAACAGTTAATTCAGAAGCTCAGTTGCGAAAAACATGAAGCTATTCAGATTGCCCTGAAAGAATTTAAATTGGAGAGAGAAGTTGTTGAGAAAGAGTTATTAGAAAAAATTAAACATCTTGAAAATCAAATAGCAAAAAGGTAAGAATTGCCATTAGTCTGTAATTATGAAAATGCTGGTGATGGGGTGCATGCATGTAATCACAGTGCTTGAATTACTTGTATACTTTTGGTAAATGTGGCACTCAATATTTTCATGGAGTAAGCACTTTCTAAGTAGTGTTTCTTGTAAACATAATATTAGACTATAAAGTTCTTGGTTTCTTTTAAAATTTTGGATTTTCAGAGGAATGCTCTTTTTTTCAAAAATTTAAAGTGTTTTAAGGTACAGTATTTTTCCTTCTAAAATTCCCTTGGAGTTTCTACTAAATTCATTAGTTGAAAATTATTTGCTTTTGTTCTCTTTATATTTGGCATATGTGTATGATGTATATATGTATGTATGAAAATATATGACCTTTTTCTCTGAGCATTGTTTAGCAAAGACAAAAATCATAGATAGGGACTATGTACAGTGTTCTCATTGTTGTATAGAATATCAGTTACTGTCTGATTGAAAAGATGATGTTTTTAAATTTTAGGTTTGATACTGTGGTTGTGGGGTGGGTTTTTTGGTTTGCTTGTTTTTATACTTTTATTATTGTTACTGTCTTAACTGTTAAGCCCTTTTGATCAGAGAAGATAATTTTTTAGTATTTCTACATTTAAAAACTTGTTACAGGATTTTGTAGCCCAATAAACAGTTTCTAGAGCATAAGGCACCATTTATTTATTCTGTTATTGATTCTCAAAGTGAATGTATTTGTCAGTGAATGTATGTCATGCAACTTGTTTCTTGCCTTATTATTTCTGAAGTCTCCTGAGATTGATTGTTATGTAGCACTCATGTATTGGTGGACAGTTAAAATTATTACTTGTTTGAAAATAGAAACGCTGTGTATTCTCAGGGAATTGGAAGATTTAACAGAAGATTTAGGGCTTGCACAAATGTTTGCAGAGATGGGGGACAAAGGTCAGTGGAGTCATTGCTAAGGGCAGCTTGCAGAGGAGCTGAGCTGGACAGCAGGTAAAGTGGTAAGCATAGATTGTGTTCAGGACCTGTTGGAAGTAGGGGGAAAGGGGGACCTCCACACAGGACCTAGATCAGCTCTGAGTACAGGATGCACAAACTGCAGTGTGTAGCCAGCGGTAGGGTGGAGACCAGTCACTGACATTGATATCTCAGAAAGCCTCCCGAGTCAGAGGTTCTGACCTAAAAGGATTCCTGCTGCAGGCCCGCCAGGGTGGCAAAATAGCCAGAGTATAAAGTAAGACTTGGGTCACATTTTGAAAGCCATCAGAGGCCAAGGGATCGGGGTGGGGACCTCTCTGAAGCACCTTCTAAGCTTCTTGCTGCAACTGAGTAGTGCAGGCCTAACAGGACACATGCCAAGGTCTGAGCCTAGAGGCCAAGAAGAGCCTAAGGAAAGCGTATTTGGAAGGGGCTTTGTCAGGCCCTAAGTGAAATGAAATCCCACGGAAGTGCTCACCAGAGCTGATGTTCTTCGTGTCTCCCTTGGGAGCCGCGGCAGCATTCAGGAATCTCTTCCCAGCACCGTGGTCTGGCCTGATCTGCAGCACAGAATGAGTAGTTCCCAGTTACTTGTCAGGAGGCTGCCTTGCTGCCACGTTGACTACGGCCACCTCGAGCAGGAGCCTGGGCTGCTTGTCTGCTCGCCATGTGCAGAAGGTGTTTTTGTGGCAGTCTGGGAGTTCTGCAGGCAGAGCTGGAGATGCAGACTGCCCAGGGCATGTGCGCTCACACAGGGCTGAGGGCAGTGCTGCGGGCGCGGCGCGGCCCCTCATTGGCACTGGCTACCCTGTCGGAACCTCAGTGGTCAGACAGTTCTTTTGCCCTGTTGAACCTGTAAATAAAAAACCTTCAGTGACATTTTGGTTTGGTGTGATACAAGTTCTGTCCCTCACACCACCCCAGATGTCCTTACCTGCTGTTCTGAAGGTATAGCTCAGACTGATGCCATTTTGAGGGCAAACACTTGGTGTTCATTGTCACTTGTCTGTCACAAGCTCTTAGCTACTCTGTCATTTAGAGGATAAAGTATACCTTACTTCAAAAAGTAGAGGGTATCGAGGCTTAAGATGTTGTTTCTGTAACTAGCCTTTATTTAACTCTAATAGGTGCTTGCAGCTTCATTCCCTTACCCACTCTGTTAACTTAGCCAGGATCTCACCTGGTTTTAGTTTGTCACCTGATGCACATGGTTCAAATCTGTTTCTAAACGGACTGTACCGTCAGTTTAATTGTTGTAGTTTTTCCATTTTTTTCCCTTCAATATCATGGCTGGCACCAAGAGAAATCCCTTGGGGTTCCATTGCTATTTGTTCATGCTGTCATTGGATCGAAAAAACTTGTTCTCAATGATACTGAAGATCTGTCACCTGCATGGCAGTTTTATACTTTTTTCACCCCTGTGTGTTTAGTATGGGAAGGCGCCTCAGTGGCAGACTGTGGCCGAGCTCCTTCCCGTTCAAGTGGGACCCTGTTGGTGTCTTCCAGTGAAAGAGCCCTTTTGTGTGGAACTAAAGTATCAGGTCAGCATGGCCCGAAAGTTTCATTTCTTTTTTACGGCTTATGGGGTAGCAGTGACTTCAGTCTTTTGTTTCTCCGAGCTCTCCAGGTCACGGGTGAATGGCATCGTGTAGTGTTCTCTGCTTCGGAGGCGTTAGGCCATTGTCCTTGCTGTGTGAAATGTCTCACATCTGGTACTGGGAGTAGATTGGTCCACAATTTATTGGACCAAATGGTTTTGGAATTGGTGCACGTGACCAGACCAGTGTTTTCTGTGGGTGTGAAGTCATGTCTACGCATCTTTATCTGCAGTTCCTTTGATCAGAAGCAGTTGTAGCAAGCACAGCACTTTTAAGTCATGGAAAGGTGGTTTTGGCAGGAGTGCTGTGATCCAGATGGAGAGCGCCTGGCCCTGTGAAGACACATTATTCTTCCTTCCATGGTGGTTGTAGCCCAGGCGATGACCCTGCCATCAGGTGGCCTGCTCGTCCCCTAGGAACACTGCAGGGGGCTCAGCATCTTGCTCAATGTGCAGAAACCCCTGCTTTCTGCTTCCATTGGAGGATTTTCATTAGTCTGTACAACAGAGATGAGTATTACTGGAGAAAAGTTAATGGTGCCAGCTGAAACACTCGATGCCCTTGTGCTAGTAAATTTGCTTGCAGTGGGAAATATCCTCAGGGTTTAAGCGTCTAACTTCAGTTCACACATTCATCTTCCACATCTAGCTCCTTCCTTCACTTCCGGGAAAACTTCAAACCTAGTTTGCAGGCATCAGTGTAGGTCTGCACCTGGGGCCATCTCCCCTTTCAGGTCAGTGCCTTGCCCCCGTCTCAGGCGGACTGTCCTCTCCTGCCTGCCGTCCTCAGGCCATCCATCAGTGTGGCTCTGGCACTCCGCCCCTGTTCTCTGAAAGAGCAGCCACGTGTCCATGTCATGCGGAGTCGTCAAGAGCCAGGCCTGCCGCTCATACCTGGTAGTCACTGTGCCACCCTAGTTACAGGTACAGCAGACAGGCCGAGAGGCACAAGTGTGGCACCTCTGTGCTGCCACCCCCCCCCCCCATCAGAGGCTGAAGTTGTGTGAAGATCTCCTTGGTACAGCAATGTTTCTGTGCTTATTTGCATGGCATGCTCCGGATTACAGCACACGTAGAAATTGTGCTGTGTGAAACCCTTGAGTGTGCATGGGCTTCACTGTCCACTTTTTTCTTTTTTCCTTTCTGTATTTAGGACAGGGTCTACAGGGTCTGACTACATAGATCGGACCTGTAGTGATCCTGTTTTCAGCCTCCAAAAGTGCTGGGATTACAGGTGCTCCTCACCACACCCAGTCTGTCACCATCTTGGTGTGCCCTACAGGTGGGGCCAACATGGCAGGCCGAGGATCAAACCTCGGCCACTGCACTGTGCCTAAAAAGGTGCTGTAGTCCGCTGAGCTATGAGGCTGGCCCTCACTGTCCACTTTGGGATGCATTTGTTTTATTCAGGTGAGGTAGGAGCTGTTCCTTGTTTCTTAGGCCCACGTGATGTGTATTGAATGTTAATGGATCAGTGTGATAGAATTCTAGTTGAAAGTTTGCAACTAGACTTCTCACCCTGAAAAGTATATAATAGGGAACAACAATACGTCACATAACACTAATTTCAGTGGTCTTCCAAGATAGTCTGGTATAAGCAGTGAAATTATTCATTAGAGATAGACTTTTTTTGACAATGCCTAAATTGCTAAGAACTGCCATATAAAATCTGACTCCCAATATTTGAGGCCAAATTCAAAGGGAAAAAATTCTGCTAGCTAGATTTCATCAAAACTGAAATATAATCCCAAGATTAAATAGTAGAAGGTTATTGCCCCCATAGGTGGAAGCAAACTGGTTCTTGTAACCTTCCTCTAGAATTGACAAACTAGATTCTGTGGGAATCCAGCCGCCACGTGCTTTGCGAATTGTTGCTCGCTCAGCCACAGCGTAACCTAGTGGCCCCAGCCGGCGCCACCCAGGCCCAGCGCTCCTTCTGGTGCCTCATCGGGGGAGCAGGAGCTCAGCACTGCACCACCCTAGCTCCTGTGTCTGCCTCCCTGCATTGCATTGCGTCTTGTCACGAGGATTACAAGCGTGGAGCGGCTGGTGTTCTGAAGCAGCTATTTCACAGCATATTTTAATTTTATTTTTATTTATTTTATGTATTTGGTACAAGCTCTCACTATGTAGATCGGACTTGTAATGATTCTCCTGTTTTCAGCTTCCCAAATGTCTAGGATTACAGCCACGCGCCACCTCGCCCAGTCTGTCACCTCAGTGCACTGTGGAAGGTGGGGCCACTGTGCCCTGGCACGCCAGGGATCAGTCCCCAGTCCTTGCGTCTGACTAAGCAGGCACTTTAATCTGCTGAGCTATCTGGCTGCCCCTTATGGCATTTTTAGTATAGTACATTACAAATTATTGCTGTTTGCACAGATCTAAGTCTTTAATCAACCCATGCTATTAAAGCTGTAGGGATAATAACTGGAAAAGAGTTTCTGTGACTAGCAGTTGCTGCTCTTTCTCTGCTGCTTATAGTGGAATCAGTCCTGGATGGGTGCGTGTGTGTGACCAAAATCCTTCCATTCCTCTTGAATTCTCTGGATTTTAGGTCTGTGCACTACCTCTGCTTTGTCTGTGGAGTACTGTCTTTTCTCAAAGCCTCAGTGAAGAGAGAATTCTAAGACTGGCATTGCTTTCTATATGTGCAGATCTCATGTGTTCTCCTGGCTGTTTGCACATTCTCTGTTACAGGATGGGTTGGTTTCGTAAGTGAGAAAAGCCAAGTCCGTACAGTGACAGTGGCCGTGGGGAGACAGGCATGTTCAAATAGCCTCTGCAGTTAACTGGAGACATTCTTTATTATTGAATTAAAAATCAGTTAAGCTCTTAAACTTTAATTTCATAGTAGGATAAAATTTTAGTTGATTTTTTTTTTTCATAAAGTCTACGTTAGTGTCCTGAATGGACAGAAGTGGTGTTAGCAGGAACCTCACACAGCGCAGCATTTCCTGACTTCCCGCTGCCTCACTGGTGTTCATATTCCTGGAGGACTTTGGATGCTAGGAAGAAACTTGGGCAAGACAGATTAAGGGGAGTAGCTAGTATCAGACCTCCCACGGACCCCAAAGAGGACAGTGCACAGTCCGTCAGAAAAATGGGCAGAGGGTATGAACGGAGATAGGATAAGTACAGTTGACTAGTTGCGCGAGTGACTTTCCAGGGTACTTGGAATTACAGACATGTGAACTTAAAAGAAGTTTTTTTTTTCCTTGCTTACTTGGGAACTGTTAAATCTAGTTTACGTTGGTTTTGAGAAATGCGGGGCAATGGTTTCCTCACATACCCATGTACAGAGGCCTGCATATAGAGTGGGTGTGCACCACACAGCTCAGCATCTATCTGTAGGATCTTGGTGAGTATGGGTGCAAGCTTTCATTTTATCATTTTATTATAACAGTAAATAGTTGTTCTCTTGGCCCAAATCTACCTAAGTGATCAAAATGTATGATGTGTGTTTAAATTTACTACAGTAGTGGACACGTTGCCACCAACCACCCCCAAGCCCTTCCTAAACAGTGCTCTTTGGTTCATACACTGAGCTTGCCAGTTTGTGAAGCAGTTCTGGAAGCCCTTCCTTGTGTAATTACAGTGGGGCAATCAGAAAAAAAGGTGGATCTGCTCTTGGGCCAACCGGCACAGAGGTGGGTCTTGCAGGCATGAGGGCGCCATCAGCCACTTCCCTCATGATCCTGTGGCCTCTACCTGTACCCCACAGTCACACTAGCCATGAAAGGTAAATGCTTTGAGTGACCCGAGGACTGAGGTGCCCAACAGCGTACTGAGGACACTCACGGGAGCGGACGTCAAGTGCTGCTTCACGTAGTGTAGGAGTAATGGCCTGAGTGTCTTCTTGGAGTGTGGTGGGCAGGGATGAGAATGCCTTTGACCATAATGAAGGGCTTTTTTAAGTTGATCAAGTCATTGTATTTTTAGTTACACAGTTCCCATAAGAGAGCTCTGGTATTCTGATAGTCTAATTTAAATTATATTAATTTTCTACTTGCATTAGAAATAATTGCATCAACCAAGCTTTTGCTAGACCTGTTTTAACAATGTCTGCTTCCTTGAATTGTAATTTCATTGTCTCTAGGACAGTCATGTATAGGGAGCCAAGGTTATGTGGATTTTGGGGAGGGCAGGTATGGGCAAGTATTGTTGATCAATTTCTTAAATTTCTATGATGTTTGTTGGATCATTTTTTTTTTTTTAAGCTTCATGTCCTTCCCACCTGCAAAATACAGTTCCTTGCTTCCCCAAAGAAAGCTAAGCAGTGGTAAAGAAAACAAAGCAACTCTTTGAAAACCATTTTCATTGCTTGGATTAATTTCTCTTTGTGCTAGGGTGATGTTGGACCTTACAGTAATACAAAGTAAAACTATGTAGCTGACAATCATTTGGACCTTTTTGGGTTTTTTGAGACAGGTGTTCACTGGCCCTGAATTCAGCCTCTAGCCCAGGTTGGCCTTAGATGCAGTTATCCACCTCTTGCGCCTTCCAGTTCCTGGTATTAACAGGTGTATGCGCACCACTGTGCCCAGCTGCCATTTTCTGAGGAGAGTTTTAGGCTGCATAGCATGGGGTCTGCTTTTAGCCGAGTTAATATAACCCTTTCTTTCTTTTCTTTTCTTTTCTTTCTTTCTTTCTTTCTTTCTTTCTTTCTTTCTTTCTTTCTTTCTTTTTTTTTTTTTTGGCAGTACTGGGGATTGCACTCAGGACTTTGCATTTACCAGGCAAGAACTTATTCCACTGAGCTATCTCCCCAACCCTGTAACCCTTTCTTGATCATAAAAGTGCATTCACACAGAGATACTTTGTCGATCTGCAGAAGATAAACAGCCTGAATAGGATATTTGCTGTGTTTATGATTGCATCTGTAGTGAGAAAAATTTAATGCATTGTTCAATTTTTAAGTCCTGTCATTGAATCTACTAGAGAAGATTCTTCAAGCTTAGTTGCTGAACTTCAAGAAAAGCTTCAGGAAGAAAAAGCTAAGTTTCTGGAACAACTTGAAGAGCAAGAGAAGAGGAAGAACGAGGAAGTGCAGAGTGTGCGGACATCTCTGATCGCCGAGCAGCAGGCACGTGCCTTGCGCCCGCGGGCCCCCCCCACCACCACATTTCTGGTTTCTCTGTAGCCGAGGTTTCAAGTGCAGAATGACAGGTGTCCAGTTGAGGACTTTTGTTTTCATTGTTGTTTTGGGGGGTGCTGGGACAAGGTCTCGCTGTGTAGCCCAACTGGCCTGGAACTTGGCAGCAAAAATCCTGCTTCACCTTCGGTATGCTGGAATTACAGGTGTGTGCCACCAGGCCAGCCCTTGAGCTTTTCGTGTTTTAAACCTTGTAATATGTATAAAAATTGGGATCAGGAGAGACTGCTAAGCTGTCCTCCAATTTTCACAAGTGGTAACAAAATCTTGCTCCCTACTGGTGCCATGAGTTTGGCTTAGTAGTTTCTTTTTTTAAAGATTGATTGATTGATTTGTTACAGGTCTCACTATGCAGCTTGGACTCAGTAATGATCCTCCTGTCTCAGCCTCCCCAGCACTGGGATTGCAGCTGTGCACCATGACACCTAGTTTCAGTGACCAACACGGCACAAGGCTGGCACAGCCTGTGGTACTGGGGCTTGAACCCAGGTCTTTGTGCTTGCCGGGCAAGTGCTCAGATTCCCGAACCATCTCCCCAGCCCAGGCTTAGTAGCTTCTTAAATAGCACTTTTTAAGTGTGCATTTTACAAATTATAATTCTGAGAACCCATTTCATGCCACAGAAAGAGCAAAGTGCACAAAGTAATTGTCTTGTGAAATTAATTTACTGTATACGAATAATACAGAAGTGGCTTCCCATAAATCTGTGTCTTATTTCAATTAATTTATTTTTCTTTAAAGCTGCGTTTTAAATGTTTCTTTTGGAGGGTTCTTCTGGTATGTTTACTGATCAGAAGTTTTTATTGAATTTGATCTTTATCTAAAAATACTATTTCCCCATTAAGTCTGTATTACTGACGGCATTATTGGCATTATTCATTGACCCAAGAACTCTTCAATGTTTGGAGTGCAGCCAGGTGTGAGGCAGCCTCTCGATCTCAGCACTGGATGGCTGAGGCAGAAGGGTCACGGGTTCAAGGGTAATATCAACAAAGTGAGACACGATCTTAAAATTTTTAAAAATGATGAAAAATTTTGCAGTTAGAAGTTTTCACCTACTTTACATCCCAGTAATATTCTAAATGAAGTGCTCCTACACAAAGTTCTAACAGACTGCTTTCTTTGTAAAAAGCAACTTGGTACTTAATGTTGCTAGATTCTGCACAAGCTTCATACAGGCAGCCAGATGAGCATCTTAGTAGGAAAGTACCTGAAAGTTTGGGAGCTGTAAGTATGGACAGTGAAGAAGGCTGGTGGCCCGGCTCTACTCAAGAGAAGCCGAGTAGCTATCAAATGCTAATGTGACAGTTAGGACTTAGCTAAATATGCAAACAGTACTCAGAAAGTGGTGTGCGTAACAGCAGTCTTTACATTGTCGATCATTTTATTACTTAAAGTTTCACATGTGTCTGTGAGTCACACCATGTTTTCCACATACAAATGTACCAGAAAAGAGTGTTTGCAAGTTTATTTTCTTAGCTTTAGACTGTGTGCAGATAACTTAAATAGCTACTATTCTGTTGTTTCAGACCAACTTTAATACTGTTTTAACCAGAGAGAAAATGAGAAAAGAAAACATAATAAATGATCTCAGTGATAAGTTGAAAAGCACAATGCAACAACAAGAACGGGATAAAGGTTAGTGCTGCTTTAATAGGATCTTTGAATCCTTTTTAAAAGTCAAAAAATTCCCAGGAAAGTTTTAGTTAGTGCTTGTGCATTTCACCCTCCCTCCAGATTTAATAGAGTCACTGTCTGAAGATAGAGCTCGTTTGCTGGAGGAAAAGAAAAAGCTGGAAGAAGAAGTCAGCAAGCTGCGTGGCGGCACTTTGGCTCCTGTCCCCTACGGAACTGCAGCCCCAGAGCTCTATGGAGCCTGTGCCCCGGAGTCCCCAGGCGAAGCCGACCGGTCTGCCTTGGAGACGACAGAGGAAGGCCGGGTGGACTCGGCCTTGGAGACGAGCACGATGTCCGTCCAGTAAGTGCGCTGTTTTTTATATGGTAGGGAAGGGTCTGTGGGCTGTTCAGGGTCTCACTACTAGGTCAGACGCATAGTGATCCGCCTTACAGCCTCCCAAGAGCTGGGATTACAGGCGAGCGAGCGCCACCACGCCCAGTCTCAATTGTCATAATCGCTGTCTCAGTGCACCCTGGGGGAATCGAACGCCTGGCCCCTGCACCTGCACCTGCTTGCAGGTGTTTTAATCCACTGAGCTATTTGACTCGTACAGTAAATGCATTCTGTAAGATTCTGGAAGTCAGGAGTGGCTTGCTCCAAGTTAGAAAACTCCAAGAAAGGGAGTAATTTTCACATTACTGTTTTCCATACCCAATATGAAGTACTTCAGAAAGGTAAGGCATAAACATGCGCAGAGAGTATAGTAATTAGAAAACATAAAATAGAAAAATAAGTCCAGGCATATGGAAAATATCAGAACTAAACATCAGCAAGGCACATGCCTTTAGTCCCAGTGACCGAGTAGGAACTTGTCTCAGAGTAATGATGTAAATGAGGCCAGCAGTGTAGCCTGGCAGTGGGTTCCCTGGGCTAACCCCCACTGTACAGAGTAAACCAGAACTGTCTCAGGAAAAATATATCCAGCTGTAGTCTGTGTATAGGAGAGTTAGCTAAAAAAAATGATACAGAAAGACAAATGTGATATGATAGAAAATGGTAAATAAAGCAAGTAATAAGTAAAGAAATAGCTACTCAAAAGCAAAAGGCTTTAAAAGAAGGAAATTTCATTTTTAGAGAGGGTGTGTTTTCCTAAGTAGTTAACTTGTAGGTGATTTTGATCAACTTCTTTAAATCAAAAATTCATTAAAAATTGAATCTGAACTTTAAAGACCCACCATTAGAGTAGAACTCTTTTCACAAGCATCAAGTGAAAAGCAATAAAAAAGAATTCATTTTGTTGAACTCAACGACTTATGAAAACAGCCTAGATGTGCCAGATGATGAAGTGTTGAGATTCCAGACATTGATGTGAACGAGTAAAAGTAGTCCTGCTGTCGAAGATGCCATTTTGTGTTTACGTGGACACGGGTGTGCAGGTGCGAGGCCTGTACAAGAGGGATAGGTAGATAGGTGCAAGTCGGCTTGCTCAAAACTAAGCAGAAGTCATCGAAAACATCAGGTTAGTATTCTGGGAGAAACACATGTGCATCTCCACCAGTGTGTGTGTTAAAAGTGAATTCACTCATGTTGGAACATGGCTGGGAAAAATAGGAAACTGAGATTACCCCACGTTAATGTACATGCAAAGTTTTGCTTATAATTTCGAAACGTTGGGAAATTTGTCTGACATACAGAATAGGTAGTATTGAGAGATGTGCTGGATACTTTTGAAAATTTAGTACGAAACCTAATATTACTAAAGTAGTCTATAGTAATAGCTAAAACTTCCAAAATCTTACAGAAGGAAATCTTTTTTGTTTTTTTGGGAAGGGTCTACAGGATGTTCAGGTCTCACTACTAGATCTGACTCATAGTGATCCACCTGTTTACAGCCTCCCAAGAGCTGGGATTATAGGTGGGCGCCACCACACCCAGTCTCAGTTGCCATCTCAGCACAACCTGGGGGCAGAGCTGGCGTGGCAAGTTCTGGGATTGAACCTGACCCCTGTGCCTGCTTGCAGGCACTTTAATCTGCTGAGCTATTTCGCCAGCCTAGAAGGATTTTTTGTTTTTTCTTTCTTTTTTTTTGGACTTGCTCCTGCTGCCTTAAGAGTGGGTCTGGTAAGGCATGCGGAACTGGGGATCAAACCTTGGTATCCTATACCTGACTGCCTTTGCATAAGTAGGCTCTGAAGCAATTGAGCTAAGTGGCAGGCCCCCAGGAAATTTTAACATTCATTATTTCAAATGACTAAAACTTTACTAATGATCTTTCTTTTACTTTCAGGGAAAACGTCCATATGCTTTCTGAAGAAAAACAAAGAATAATGCTCTTAGAAAGAGTACGTGTATTATCTTCTGCAAGTACTGTTGTTAATATATTCACTTTGGTAATTCATTTAAGTAAACCCTACTCTGAAAACACAGGACATCTCTTATGTTTATAAATGAAGTCTTTCATTTTTTTATGGTAATTTGTTTTCGTGGTTAATGTTTTGAGTAACAGTTCTCATATTTCATCCATTTCCAATGAAGTCCTTATAAGAGCAAAAAATGGGCAATTTTAACAAAAAATTTGAATTTCATACATTTCAAAAACAAAAATATTAAATTTTTTTAAATTAGCAAAGATGTAAGGAAAGGTAATGAAATGGGTCATATTTTTTAATAAAGATAACTTGAAGTGAGCAGGAAAGCCTTGGCAGGGTGGGGCTTTTTCTTCAAGGACTAGTGAGGCTGTTAAGCTTTCTGCAGTGGTTCCATTGCAACTTAATGGCTACAAATGCATAGTTGGAATTGTGCGACTGTGGTTGCACCACTCATTACTCTTCTGTTGTGAGTTCCGGAGCAGCTCCTCAGCCTAACCAGGGAGGTGTCCTGTGAGGTACCTCGCCTCAGATGGCCCCACGGGCGGAGTGAGGAGGACCAGTCTCACATACTTACTGCAGGCCTACAAAGGTCACAGCCAGTGGATGTAAAAACTGGGCAGTTGTTAGTTTAGGTAAATGCATCAAAATTGTCATCATTAAATAGTAGATAATTAAAACAGCTGGAAAAGATTCATGGAAAATAATACCACCATTGAGTTTTCACAGCAGAACCAAATATTAATCTGAGAAATCTTTCCCATGTTGTACTTAGTATTTATAAGGATTAATCACAGTCTTTTTTCTACCTATAGACATTGCAGTTGAAAGAAGAAGAGAACAAGCGGTTAAATCAAAGACTGGTAAGGACTTTTTCTGAAAATCCGATGTTGCCATTTTGAAATTATTTGCATGATACTAAGAAGATGCAGTGTTGTGAGGATGCACGCTTGGTCCCCCCGCGGTGCCCGTTGTGTTGGTCATCGGCTGGTGCTCAGGTCGGAGCCCTCCCCTCCAGGTGCACACTTGGCTCTGGCCTTGGAAACTGGTGTAAGACGCACGGCCGGCACCGGGCAGCGAGTGCCTGAGTGTGAGGAGGGAGGAAGGGAAGAAGCTCAGTGTGCGGCTCTTCAGAAAACAGCTTCCTTAGGATTGCCTCAGTACTGGCTGGTAAACCTGGTGAGGCGTCTGAGCCCGCAGTGAGAGCTGCGTCGCACAGGCGAGCTGAAGACGAGCGGGTGTGCTCTCGCAGCTCTGCGTACCTTTCACACATCTTACCCTCCCTGAATTTTGCCTTTCCGTGAAGACCTCTGCAAGGCAAGAGCCATGTCTGGCTGCCTTCCCGCGCCGTCCGCGCCTTGCCTTGCCTTGCCTTGCCTTGCCGGTCACCTTCCCAGTCAGTCTTACATTTTAATAAAGCAAGTGCTGCGGTTTGCCAGTTCTCATAATGAGTGTTCCCGAGAGGAAACTAGTGATTTAAGCTTGTGTTAAATACTTTTGAAACCTTTGGAAATACTTTTCAAAATTGAACTTTTACATAAGACACCTTTACAGTGAGCGATCTACTTACTTTCTTATGTCTTAACTTGAACAAAAGTTGTTCTCTAAGTGTTTATACTGTCAGTCATTAAGTTTTTAAAGTTTTATCTGCATTAGTACGTTTTCATACACACTGCTCACATTTCTCGGGGAGTTGGCGCCTGTGCCCAGCCTCCCAGGTGGTCCCCCCATCTGTTGCCTGTGTAGAGATCACACGACATGTGGTGCGCAGCGAAGGGAGGAGGAGGAGGTTAGCTGTGTTGAGCCACCGCCTTGGCCTTCCCTTCCCTCGCTCACTGCCGCGCCCCAGGCAGCTCAGAGAAACTTGTGTGCTGCCCGCACGCTTCCTGCTACGTCAGATCTGCAGATCCGCACACTGCAACGGGTGTTCAAATAGAAATCAACTTCGATGGGTATTTACAACTATATTTCACATAGTTTTTCTCCAAATCTGAACTCTCATTTATGGTAACTGAAACATGTAAGCTTTTTAGTGATGAGTAAAGTTGAATATAGTGTTAAAATTAAACGATTGGTCTTTACTGGAAGAATGTTGTTTTTCTGCTTAACTTTAGTAAGTTATTAGACCTCACTGATCATTATTTGTTAATATTTTCCTTTTCTCCTTGTTTTCAAGTCCTTAGTGAGACGCTGCATTGTGTAAGCTAGTGTTTGGAAGCAAGTGGAGCAGATGCAGAGCCTGAACATTAGATTCAATAAAAATAAACACTTGTCTCTCTGTCCTTGGTCTGTGTCTGCGCGTTGGGCCCCCTTTACTAGTGAGCGATAAGCACTCTTGTGGCCGCCCCCGAGGACTCCAGAATGGTACAGTGGCGTGGCACAGTGCAGGTGCCACAGTCTGAGCAGGGCAGCAGTCCCACCGTGCTGTGGCGACTGCGAATCAGAAAGTGGGTTCCCAGTGGAGCTGTCCTCACTCTTGGCGGAAGGGTAACCTCGTGTAAGCATTGTGGAAAGCGGTGTGGACATTCCCCAGGAAACTCAAAGGAGAAATCCCACCCAGCTTAGCTATTCCCCTCCTAGGTGTCCACCCAAGAGCTAAAGGCACACCACACTGGAATACACAGGTGCCCCACCGTGTGGGATTCAGTGCCTCCTTAGATAGTAGGGGCTCAGAAACATGTTCAGGAGCTGCCTCAAAGAAGAGAAGGGGGAGGTCCCGCCCCGAGCTTCTGCCCCAGCTTGTATCCGCCGGCCCAGCGCTGTTGGGAGGCCTGTGAAGGTGGTGCTGCTTGGTGCTGGTGTTTGTCTACACAAATTTAAAAACCAGGGTTCCAGAACTTTCAGATTCTGACTCTGAAGATTTGGGGCTCTTACTGTATGATATAAAATACAATGTTGCTAAAATCAGAGTTTACTTCACCAGATTTGATAAAATAAGTAACACAAAAAATACAGGTAACAATACAATGAAGTTAACTGAAAAGAAATGAATTGTATGCTGCATTAGTGTGCTGCATTAGTTTGGACTCTTCAAATGGGACACAGCAGACGTGAGTGGAACGCTCTTGCAGTGAGTACATTTAAAGGTCTAAATGTGTAGGGTTCATAAACTGTTCATGTTTTTTAGATGTCTCAGAGCATGTCTTCAGTTTCTTCAAGGCATTCTGAAAAAATAGCAATTAGAGAGTAAGTACTTTCATTCTTTTTTCTGTGAAAACTTTACTGAATTGAGTAGTTAATAAAGATAATCAAGTTCATCTTCATTCAGCTGAGTCGTTTACACTCAGTAAGAGACATGGTGTAAAGCCAGCCTTTCCCGAGTTGCCCTGAAAGCACCAGGGCCGCGCTGCGGGTCCTGCTGGGCTAGGTGTCACTCAGACGAGCCCCTCTGCACAGAGCAGTTCAGCTGCCACTGCCTCATGGGCCCTGTTTCTCTCTTTAGTTTTTCCATTTTTGATTGAAGTCTCCATTTTAGTTTTCTGTTTTCTCATTTTTTTTCTTAATTTTGCTGATGTACTGGAGATTCATAACATACTGTTAATCTATCAGTTGAATGATTCAATAATCATTTCTCCTGAGCTAGATTTTCCCAGAGTTACATTTTTTCTTTCATTTTCGTTCTTTGTAAGAAACTCTCTGAATGGAGAGGAACATTGTTAGCCACTCTTGAATAACAGCTTGTATATCGAAGCCAAAGGACAAAAGCCAAGTGCGTGAACTGAATATATGCACAGACAGTCCCCGTTGCGAGTGTGGCGGCACACACCTGTGATGCCAGCACCCACCCCGTACGCTGAAGCTGGAGGGTCACTGACGAGCGAGTTCGCGGCCAGCCTGAGCTACGTAGTGAGGCGCTGTCTCCGAAAATGAAACAGGATGCTGTATTTATAGTAGGGCCGTTGGTCGGTTTTGTTGGTCGGTTGTGGCTTTGACCTTTCATACTGCATTCGAATGTGTGTCTTCTGAGTGATCTGAAAGAGCACAATGGTGTCAGTATTTACCATCCACATCAACTCGGTGAGCAGTCACTGATGATCTTTTTATTTAGGTGTTCGTTTGTTTGTTTGGTACCGGGGATCAAACTCAGAACCTTGCACTTGCTAGACAGGTACTTAAACTGCTGAGCGATCTCTCTGGTTCATGATGATCTTCAAAAAGTAGAGATGAGCTTCAAAGTTACCGCAGACAGGTCCCACTTACCTTTAGTGTATTGACTTTTGGAATTCAGCCAAAGTGCTCGCCACATTTGTGTGGCAGTGTCTGTGGCATGATCAGCCTTAGAAGGCTGCCTCTCCCAGGCCGAACTGCACAGCAAGACCTCAGAAGGGACAAAAAAAAGGGGAGAAAGCCTGCCTGTCTCATTTTGATGACTTTTGATTACAACAGAAACAGTAAGATGAATTTCCAGGATTTATTGCTGTTTTTGATAGAAATACAAAGAAAAAAGGGGCTCTAAAGAGACACGCAGCACCTAGCCTACAGCAGTGGTAACTCTGGTGTTCTTCCTGTGGGGGACCCTTTTTACTTGTTCAGGCCTGAGCCTAGCCAGGCATCCAGATCGAGCTCCGTTGTTGCTTGTGTCACAGCAGAGTCCCACACCGGTGAACTGGAGCGGCAGGGCCCAGTTCTTCGACACTAGAGCTGTGAATGACGTCTCTGCTTCTGAAGTGGTGCCTGCGGCTATACAATGAAAACACGGAAAGACATCTGTGACTGAAAAACCGATGAGGGCTTTTTACACCCACATCCACGCAGGGTTCTTGTTTTGTTTTTAAGAAACTTTTGCTCTTCTGTACTTGCTTGTGTTGTAATTTGAACATGTGTGTGTGTGCATGTGAGAACAGCATTCTGGAGCTGGGTGGAATACAGAAAGAGTATCTTGGCAGTGTCTGATTCCAAACTGGTGGGGGGGTTTTTCTTTTGCTGTTGTTTTGTTTGCTTATTTTGTCTTTTTGAGACAAGCTCTCACTGTGCAGTGCAGGCTGGCCATGAGCTCCCTTTGTAGCTGGGATTAAGGTGTGCGGCAGCACAGCTGACTGCATTTGTATAGCTGAACCTCAGGGTATTGCTTCCAGTACTCCTTTAAAATGTCAGAATTCTTGGATGCCCAAATCCCTTGTATAGAATGTATACAATGCTGTCTCTTATATAGATGGCATCCCAGTAGTGCGTACATCTCGCCCATGAGCACATCTTGCTGGATAACTCTAGGTTCCCTGCAATAAGCCTTGTACAGTGTAATGTCTTGTCAGTAGTGCGGAGGCCTCTTCATGTTTGGTTCAGTTGCGGAGGTTTTTTCTGGATATATTTTGTCTTTGGTTGTATGAATCTAATAGACACAGAACCTATGGGTACAGAGGGCCAACTGTATAAGACTGTGATTGATAGTAACTCTAGGACAATAAACTTACTTTCCTTCAGTTTTCAGGTGGGAGATTTGGTACTCATCATCCTAGATGAACGCCACGACAATTACGTATTATTTACTGTTAGTCCTACTTTATATTTTTTGCATTCAGAGTCTCTGCCTGCCCTGGATCTCAAACCAGGTGAGGGTGGTAAGTGTCACATCCATGAATAAACTATTTTCCTAGACTGGGAGGGATGTATTTTTAAAGACTGTTTTTACTCTGTTGTATAATTGCCCAAAAACTTAAGTCTCTGACAAGGAGCTCTGCTTAATCTGGATATATATATATATATATATTTTTTTTTTCCTTGTGTACCAGTTTGTTTTCATGTTATAAAGATCACTTATATTCTCTGATGAGAATTCCAAAGGCTTTTGGTAAATTGAAAACTTTATTGACTGAATAATTAAGTCATCTTTATTGTGACACCTTTCAAATGGATTTGAAAAGACAAAAAGTATTCCCCGTAGCACGTGAGACTTGGATGGCGGACCGACTGCGTCCACTCCTGTCTGCATTCTCCCCTCGTGTAAGAACCACCCCGCTAGGCCTCGGGTGGAAATCACGACCCCGCTCTGCAGCGAGCACCCCTGTGTTCACACTGCCTTGCCTGGACTCTGGCCACAGGCGTCAGACGATGGAGGGCGTGCCCTTCCCGCGAGGGCCGTTGCCGAGCTCAGGTCTTCAAAGATGAGTGCTTCCTTTACTCCTAGAGTTTGATTTGCTGTTAGAAATAGAGAAGGTCATTATCAGTCCTTCAGTAGATGGCGGTGTTGAGTTGGCCTCGAGGTCCTAAGCGGATTTGTTAAGGAGTACATCCCAGCATTTCCTGAGCAGTTCCGTCTGTGATGCGGTGTACCACGCATATATAGTTAAATGAGTGAAGACCGTGTATTACTGGTTAAAAATTAACATGATTCAGCTTTGTTGCATGATTGAAGCATTTCAGAGATCCCATCATTTTAAGAGAATTACACTTTTTCAGCAAGAACTTCACTAGGATTTCTATTTTGACACTTCTGTTTTCATAAAGAATTATAAGTGTACTCCGAAAAGGAAACTAACAGTGTGATTCGTTAGCTTCAGGTGCGACTCGAAGACCTTGGGTGCTTGGGAAGGTGATGGAGAAGGAGTACTGCCAAGCCAAGAAGGTAAGAGCCGCGCCCGAGTGCCCGTCTACCAGCTGTTGCTAATTACATGGTTTTTGCCTGATTACTTGAGTTGGAGCTTGGGTTTAGTTAGATTGAATTGAGATGAATTTTATAAGTTTTGTAGTATATTTCTTGAGATAGTAAATGTAGATTAGCACAGGCCGTCAACCTATAAAGGAAAACTACTATCTACCTTTTTTCTGTTGACTATTAGAGTATGCTACTTAGTCTAAGTATGCAAAAAAGTCCCTGCATAACTGGTTACAACTGAGTTCTGTTTCTGTCTAGAGCTGTTTACTTATTTTCAGAAAGTAAATACAGTATAAAAATTTGGGGGCTTAAAATTGATCTGATTGAAATATCAGCTTTGTCATTGCCAGGGAGTCTGTTGAGCATTCTTCCAGACTGTTTCCTACCTCAGCCCATCAAACTTGTATTAGGGGTTTTTTGTTGGATGCTTGAGTGATGTGCTGCTTTGTAATTTGCTTTAGCAGCAGCAGCAGTGTTGGGTGCTCAGTATTCTTTCTTCGGCCTGGTGGAGAGTGCATCTTGTGTGGCTCGGCTCTCCCTCTACCCCTAAATGCGCGGCAGGCAGTAGCATGGAGCGTGGCTGTAGGGTGGGGTTGGAGCACTCGAGTCATGCCCCTTCTTTTTCTTTGCTCCTTAGGCACAAAACAGATTCAAGGTTCCTTTGGGGACAAAGTTTTACAGAGTGAAAGCCGTGTCATGGAATAAGAAAGTATAGCCTGTGGAAGTGAGGGCCACGGCTGTGTCCTCCTCCAGGGCGCCACGTTGCCTGCTTGTCACTCCAAGAAGAGTAGGCCGCCTTTTTATACAAGAGTCATCCTCACCACAGTGGACTTCATCCATGTACTTTTTAACTGGCTACATTTTAGGAACAATAAATTCATCAAAACCCTGGGCTGAATTAAAATGGTTTGGGGTTTTTGTTTCTTTTTTTTGTTTGTTTGTTTTTTGTTTTGTACCCAGATAACTCTAGAAATGTGGACCAAACTAATTCATCTTCTCAAAGGGCAGACCCTGTGCATTGTGGCCTATGGTTAGCCATATTAATTGCCTGTTAAATATACACTAGCTTGAACTTAGATGTTAAATGTTAGCTATTATTACCAGCATTTGTCCTTTTGTGAAATCAGTATCGGAATACTTGCACTCTTTAACACATTCTTTATAAAACTGTATAAATTCTTCAGAAGTATTTAAAGAGTGTTACTGCATGCAGATAATCATAACTTTGAGTTTGCCTCAGTAGATTACTAAAGCAAATTCTTTCATTTTTTAAAATGCCCTTTGATGTTTCAAAAAGAGAGCTCTGTAATTTGACTGACTGACTTTAAGATCAGCCATAAGTAATCAGCAATCTCGAAAAGCACTTTCCACAGGCAGTCTCTGGGCTCTGCGGGGGCTGCGCTGCCGGCACGGTCCTCGGTGGAACTCGCCTTCCCAACATCTTTATGACTATTTAGAATACTCATATTGATGAAATCGTAATTCATGGCTGAGTTTCAGAAAAAGACACA